GTCACGGAATACCACCTGATAAGTGTGTCAGAGTTTCACCCGCTCTAGTCTCAAAAGCCAAGGGAGGAATTATCAAATTGGTCAGACCACCTTGAGAACACACCTAAGAGAACACCTTGAGCCTGTTGGTACAAAATGTTGTCAGCACTGACAAAAGTGTTGCATGTGCTCTTACCCTCTATATTATTTTAATCTCCGTTTTTAAGAGTTTCCATTCTCAATTTTTTTTGAATTTTCCCTGCCCTTCCCTTTCTGCCAGTGTTTAAAATCTTATCCAGAAATTATCCGGGTTTTGTTATAGCAACCTTAAGATTAAGAAGACTCAGTCAGGCTTACCGTCAAATTCCAGTTCCAGTATTCATGGATTGGCCTGTAAGATGCTGAACAGTTTAATGTCTCAGTTGACATTAGATTTTTGCATCTATTAAAAAAGAAAAGAGATAATCGGAATACCTAGGTTTTTTATTTCAAAATGTTTTTGTCACATAGATACCTTAAGTCGGGACTCTTGGTGTGTCCATCACCAGAATAGTGTCCATTGTACCCTCTAGGTAAGTTTGTACCAGCACCTCCCTTCCCCTTCTTGGTTTTCAGTATCCATTATACCTCTTTGTCCCTGTGTAAACCCGTCATTTAGCTACCACTTATTAGGGAGAATACACGGTGTTTGGTTTTCCGTTACTAAGATACTTACTTAGGATAATGGTCTCCAGTGCCATCCAGTTGATCCAGTCGATGTTTCATTCCTCATGGCTGAGTAGCACTCTGGGGAATCTATATGCCACATTTCTCTTATCCACTCCTGGACTGAAGGGCACTTAGTTCAGTCCCACATCTTTGAGACAATGAATTGGAAGTCAGTAAACATTAAGGTGCAGGTACGTTTTTGACAAAATGACTTATTTTTCTTTGGGCATCTTTTGACTTGTGGTCAAAGATGCTACTAGCTGGGTGTATTGGCTCACACCTGTAATCCCAGCACTTTGGGAGGCCAAGGCAGGGGACTTACTGGAAGTCAGGGGTTTGAGGACATCTACAAAAAGATTTAAAAATTAGCCAGACATGGTGGGGACACCTATAGTCCCAACTACTCAGGAGGCTAAAAACAGGAGGATCACCCAGCCTGTGTGTTCAAGGCTGCAGTGAGCTATAATGATGACACTGCACCCCATCCTGGGCAACAAAGTGAGACCCCCATTTCTAAATTAATTAAGGATGCTACTAGATGTTCTGCAGTGCACAGACACCCCCTCTCCACACATACTACAAAGCATTATCTGAACCAAATGTCAGGAGTGTGCAGGTTGAGAACCGCTGCCCTAGACTGTTAAATAATGAGTAATAATGGATTGCTCACTGTATGCCAGGCACTGTGTCAACCTCCTATGTCCACAGGTTCGCTTTATCCTCACCACGACCTGTGAGGAAGAACTCTGATCATCCCTTTTTCTGATGAGGGAGCTAAAGCTTCTAGGTGTTAAATTACTTGCCCAGGGCCATGACTATTAAATGCATTAATCCGGATGTAATTTCAGGCTATCTGTGCCCAGAGTGCTTACACACCCACAATGCTGTATACCTGTAGTGCCCAAACCTAACTTTAACCGGCAATTTTTCATATTCTTAGTTTGTAAACATTTATTCATCGGGACTTTCAGGATAAATCATATCACCACAGCCCCGTGTATTCAGAGTTCTAATTGATCTCGGTAGTGGGAGAGCTTTCCTTTTTTAAATAATCATGGTAAAATATACGTAACATAAAATTGACTGTTTTAAGTTTATAATTTAGGGCCTTCAAGTATCTTCACTATTTTATATCAATGTCCTTAACTTTTTATGATTTACTTCCAGAACTTTTTCATCACTCCAAATGGAAACTCTGTGTTCATTAAACAATACTCCCCACTTCCCCATCCCCCCCTCACCCCAGCCCTGCTATTCTACTTTCTGTCTCTATGAATTTCCCCGTTCTAGGTACCTGACAGAAGTGAAATCAGATTATGCTGGCCCATTTGTGTCTGGCTCGTTCACTTACCATAACTTTTCAAGTTTCTTCCATGTTGTGGCAGGCACCTGAACTTCACTTTTTATGACTGGATGGTGTTCCACTGTGTCTATTCATATATGTCACGTTTTGTTTATCCATCAGTTCATGGACATGTGGGTTCTTTCCCATCTTTTGTCTATTGCAACTTTCCCTTTATTTGAAATACAAACTTTTGTCCATCACTTCCTCCTTTTTCCTTTTTTATTGGCATCATAATTTTGAACAAACCAGTAGTGTTTTTACTGTGTTTTTTTGAGGGAGAATTGCTACCTTGTGGGGTTTATAATAAGGTTATGTTGGTGACAATTCATGCCATCAACAAACATTCATTGAGAATCTCCTTCGTGATAGGTACTAAGGACAGAGGGGTGAGTAACACAAGGCCCCACCTGTAAGGAGCTCAGAGGTTAGTGGGGGAAACGGAGGTGCATGTAAGTAATTACAATGCCAGTCCCAGGAATGCGAGGGACCCAAAGAGAAGAAGATGATCTCTACCTGAAGAGGTCAGAGAAGGCCTCCAGAGGGAGTGAAACTTGGGCTGCATCTTTAAGAATGAGGGGGGAATTCAAGGAGGGAGAAATAGCAGGAGCAATACCAAAGAGCCCTATAAGCCAACCAGAGAATTTGTACTTTGTCCTGAAGACACCTGGAACCAGTGGGCACTTCAAACAGGGATCCAGTATGATCACATGTCAGTCTGAACAGGACTCTTGCAAAAATATGGAGGATGATAGGCTGAGGTGGAAAGCGCTGGTGGCTGAGAGACCAGATCAGGAAAGAGCCAACAGAGAGTGGCAGAGGTGACGAGGGCTGCAGCCAGGCATAAGAGCTAGGAAGGGAGTAAGGTGAAGCAGGGCAGAAACCGTCTGAATTGTGGTGGAGGAATCAGAGGAGGACTATTCGAGAAGAACTCCACATTTCTGACTTGGCACCATTAAGCCAAACCAGCAATAGGATTCTAAAGAAAGAAAAAGAAAAATTTTTGGAGGCATGCAGGTGTGAGCTGTGTACTTGCAGGTGGGACTGACAATTAGCTGTCGCAGATATTGTCTACACCAGAGGAGATGAGTGACCAAGAATTCAAAAGTCAATATCATGGAAGGTAGTGACTGGTCATTCTATAGACCATAGTTGTAAAAATGCACCTCCCTTTCTTAGGGTCCCCCTGCAATTCAGATGAATATTAGGAAGGATCATATTCATTGTTCCAAACAAGGCCCACGTGTGTTTTAGTGCAAGAGAGGTATTTTCTTCTAGAAATGCTATAACGCCTATTCACAAGAAATGGATTTAAGCCTTTATTTACATCGTTCTGAAATCCAGAGCACCTAGATGCCAGAAAGGACATTTTACAGATTTGGGCTTGTTTCTGAGGTTACAGACAGGCCTCTTCCAAGCACTCTAAGTGCTTTATACAAAGTATTTCTAATTCTTTGGACAATCTGACAAAGAGGTATTCTTACCCCCATTTTCAGATGAGGAAATAGAAGCTCATGACATTAGGTAAGATCTACAGCCCATAAGTGGTTAAGCCTTCTGGTGAATATAATTTGACTCCAAAGTCCTATGTTGTACCATATTATGATCAATAAGCCACAGGAGGTGAGGTGTGTTTCAGATGGGGCACAGTTAGTGTGAAGCAGAAGATCCACACTGATCCTTCTGACTATGGAACCGAAATATTTACAGATGAAATGATAACAATAGCTGGGATCAGTTTCCAGATAATTGGGGAGGAATGAGTGAGGATTTAGATGAATCAAGATTGGCTTTGAGGCTCGGCGCCAGTGGCTCAAGCGGCTAAGGCGCCAGCCACATACACCTAAGGAGGCAGGTTCGAATCCCCAGCTCAGGCCCGCCGAACAACAATGATGGCT